AAAAGCTGCAGGGACAAGCCGAGAAGGGGCATTTCCTGTTTGGGTCAAGGGTCAGGACCCTGTCTAGCAAGCCCCAGCCAGGTTTGCGTCCTTCCAGATTGGACGAGACTGGGGTTCTGAGGGCAGAGGGGCCCTACAGCGGAAACCCCCTTCCTGGGCGTCAGGGCAGAGCTGTACTCCATTGGGGTTTAGCGGGCTGATTTTGCAGAAGTGGCTCACCTGTCTTCTGAGGCGCCTCAGGTTGTATTCCCACCTGCAACCTTTTGGTTAACAGCCGAGGGCAGTCACCGACTACGGCATCCGACCCCCGCCCCCAGCCCCCGCTCCCGCTCCCAAGAGCTTAGACACTCATGAGGTCCTTCCACAAAGAGATGTCTCTTTTCCGTCTCCCCAGTAACCAATCCCCAAGAGCACGCTTACCACGAAAGTTGGGGTGATACGGCCCGTGGTGCCCAAGATGCCATTTGCCTGTAAGAAAACAAGAACCAGAGAGAGAGAGATGCGTTCAGAAGAATCCCCGTGGGATAGGCTGACTCTCCCGGGAGCTGATTAAACACTCAGTTCTCTGTGGACTCTGCCCTTGACGGAGGACAGGCCCCTGAAAGCCACACCTAGCTCTCTGGGGCCAGAGAGAGTCCCCAGGGACCCTCCCAGGGAGGATATCGCAAGGCTCAAGGAGGAAGGGGAGCAGGAGTGCAAAAGGCAAGCCACTGGCCGGACCACGGCTGCCACCAGGAACAGCAGCTGCCACGGGGTCTCCTCTGACCCCGAGGGACGCTGTGTGAGAGCGAGTAGTAAGGGCAATGCGCTGTGCGTGCTAGGCTTTTTCAATGGCTGGATTTCTGCAACTATGTTGCCAGGCCTTTCCTCTGAGCTGCCTCTGAATAGACTCAAGCCTCCAGCTTTCAGTGAACAGCCGGGCATATTCCTAATTCTCATCATCCAGGGGCTTCCAAAACCTGCGGCCGCAGACTCAAGCCCAGCTGGAGGTGACTCCAAGGGGTTCCCAGGGGCTTTGGGAAAGTAGGTCACCCCACCTCCACCACTGCCTCTGCTCTGCCCTCCTGCAAAGGCCCCGGTGGCCTAGCGTGCTTGTGCCTCTCCTCCACCCAGTCTGGGAGATGCTGGTTGCCACCATCGTGCCCACCTTCCTCTCCGCGGGCAGGACACCCACGCCCACAGCCCCTGTCGCGCTGCAGGTGGGGGTGGTCGGGTGACCATGCTCCACCCCCCGTCGGCCCGCTGACTCTGAGAAGCACCCCCCAGGGAAGTCAGAGGGAGACTAAGTGCAGGATTGGAAGGCCCGGCCAACAACAGCAAGACACTGCACGGGGGGCTGCGAGGCCAACCAGCAGATAATTCCGTGTGGCCACAGAAATTCTAGAGAAGGCTTCTCTGTCGGCATATGTGCTCAGCATAGGTGAATGGCCACCCGGTGAGTCTAGGGG